ATTTCGAAATCCCGTCTTTAAGTTAGCCGGGGTCCTGACCTGCCACCCGCACGTATAGCTTACCCGGGACCTGCCACATGTGCGCCCTCACGCGCCCACGCGCTTGCCTGCCTGCCTGCCTACCACTGCCGGCAATCACACTTTGTAAATTGAACCACAGCTACTTTCGGAATGCGAGATCTCGTCTTCTGATACCTCGTCGCTGTGATGCCGCCACCCGCTCGCCTCTATACTGCAGATCTCCCTCCCCGACAGTCACGGATATTCACCGCGTGCCGGACAGGATATCATTGTGCCGGCCACACGCGCGCCGCCCTCCGTCGCGTTTCGCCCGTAATACTAGAATTTGCTCCGACTTATTAGAGGGCGAGAAACTGGTAACGGTATCTGCAGCTGGTGGCTGAGCCGATGCAACGGGTTCACTAACGAGGGGAGCGGCACTTCTTGGCTTCATTCCGCGTGAATGCGCAGAGAGAGAGAGAGCGAGAGAGAGAGTATATCATAAGAGAAAGAGAAAGAGAAAGAGAAAGAGATAGAGAGAGAGAGAGACCGAGTGAGTGAGAAGTGAGCGATGTACGAGTGGTATATCGGAGCTAGTCTCGGACAGAATGTGACCCGTCATTTATAGGAATTATTGTCCGAAATATACTCTGATCTTCGCATCTCATACGTTACACTGACCTATCGTAAACCAATCGCCTTTTCGACTTTCCCTTACACTTCGTTTGCAACTGTTCCGTGCGCAATGAATACGCACGCACGAGTTATTATTTTCTAAATACGGGTTGCAGCTATAAGCACTATAGCTGAATAGGAAATTTGGCATGGCAATGCAACATGCCAGTCCTAGCGTGAATTAACAAATCAAATTACGATAAGAATGCTAACCATCTTCCAAATAGCAGCTATTGGTTATTATATTATATTGTCTAGGCCTAGGCCTAGCCGTTTCAATGTTCACCATTTATAGACTGGAGGACCTACGCTTAACCAAACTATCGCAAACTATTGCAACCTATCGCAAACTATCGCGACCTCTGCGAGTAGATAACACCGTATATATAGCTATAGCTATCACTAATCCGTCACATCTGCGTACGCACGCACGCATGCACGCACACGTGGGGCTTCTTGGGCGACCAATGGTCAGCGATGACGTAGACCGCTGTCCTCACTCAGGACTATTCCGCAGCTGGTTAGCATTGATATAGCTGCGCACCCGCCTAGACCCTGACTGACCCCGTAGGTGGTCATGCAGAATCGAACTATGGCATCAGAATTAGACGGAAATGACGGCAACCGTGGGACCTTCGGCATCAGTCTACTACCGCACGAAGGGTCGTTGTCGTAACAGGTACTACAGATATGTACCCGAGGTAGTTTTAGGTTGTTTAGTATTATGTTTATATTTTTATATTCACACGAGCACACGTGCGCACGAACGCAGAACTACTCGCGCAAAAACTTTTCCCCCTAGATAATCTTCTACCTACTGCACCAAAAAACCTCACCCACTCCCAACTATCTTCCCTGGGACCGCAAGTTCATCACTTCCTTTGGCGGATGCCGACGGAACCTGACCGAACAATGCATGTCACATCTTACAACCGCGCGAATTGTTTTTGTTGACTTTAAAGGCGCGAGAAGAGAAGGCGCATGCTCTCTCCGCACAGTAGTTTCTGATTATAATTATATGTATATAAATAAATAGAAATATATATGTGCGTGTGTATGTCGGCTTCTCCTGTAGCGATGTATCGTGTATTGTTTGCTCAGCTATACGATAGATAACTATAGGAGTGGTGGATTTGTAGTGTGTGCATTCAGTGGTCGAGAGAGAGAGAGACTCTTTATCTATAAGCTAGTGTAAAACGATACACGTCTGCGGATCGCGGCTTGGGCCGCAAGCCCCGGCTCAAAGATTACACGCGAGTGCTTCATAATGCTGCGCACACCGCTGTCGGCTCAGAACGAAACCGTCTCAACGAATGTGTTGCTCACCGTCATGACG